GTCCTACACCATCCTCACAATTGTTGCTATGTTTGAGCCCATTGTTGCAGCCACTGTGTCAATCCATCTTGTTGAGGGTCTTTCTTTCTTTCACTGACCCTCTACTTTACCAAGCACGAAGTCCTTTATTAGCAATAGCCAAAAACTGGAAAACACCCTGGTATACTTCAACAGGTAAATGGTTGAAAAACTGTATTATATCCATACTATGGAATACTATCAGCAATAAAAAGGAACAAACTATTGATACATGCAACAATCTGGATGAATTGCCAGGGAATTATGCTAAGTGTAAAGAGCCAATCCCAAAGGTTATGTATTATATGGTTCCATTTACATAATATTCTTGAAATGACAAAATTATAGCAGTAGAGGATAGAATAGTGGCTGCCGGGGGTTAAGGAGGGGGTGGGGACAGGAAGGAAGTGGGTATGGCTATAAAAGGGCAACATGAGAGATCCTGTGGTAATGGAAATGTTCTGTATTTTGACTACATCAGTGTCAATATCCAGGGTGTGATACTGTACTATACCTTTACAAGGTGTTCCCATGAGGAAACTGGGTAAAGACTATGTGGCATCTCTGTATTATTTCTTACAAATACATGTCAATCTATAATTATCTCAAAATAAATATCTAATTTGAAAAAATGGCTCCTGGAGACCCTACAAAATAGGATTAACTGTCATGAATCTTGGATAATTTAATCATTCCTCTTCTTGAAGCTAAAAGTTAGATCAAGTGACCAAGAGAACTCATCAAGGTTCTTCATACCACTGATTTCTTCAAACCACAGAATGGTGTATTTGGAAATATAATAAACGTTTAATAATCTTTTAAAAAAATTAAGATGGGTTAAATTTAATCACAAAGGCAATGGAATGTGCCTTTCCAATCACTGAATTAAATTTATAACTTCTTCCATCCTGCATTTTTAAAATATGGCTTCCTTTTGAAATTTTATAAATATATTGCATATCGAAACTTACCTGCTCTTCTCAGTCTTAATTCTTTTAACATTAATTTTCCAGGTAACGAACGCTTTATTAATTCTGAAAGAAAAAGCACTTTTTACATTTTAGATTTGTAAATCATGCATTTATATGGAATAAATTTAGTAAAGGCTTATTAGGAATAATAATAATTTCCAATATTAGAAATATTAGAAAACTATCTAGAATATGTTTCATTCATCCCGAGTTATCTAAAAGAAAGTACTAAAAAGGCATATAACTTTTCTCCCAAACTGTCAACAGAATACAGAGCAAAAGGTACATGTTAATAAAAGTCACTATAATTCTGACAGATGAGTAATTCACTCAGCTGTAACAGTCCAGTAAATATAAAACATTATTTTCCTTTAATAGTACAGTGAAACCTGCAAAAGCCAGAACCTGTGTAGGGCAGAAACTTGTCAGAGAAGGAAAACTCAAGTATTTTCCACTAAAACAATTGATAGAAAAGTGGTAAGACTGCATCCTGTCAAAGGCAGAAATCTTTAGAGATCTGGAAAAACAAGGCAGTCCTGTCGAGTTCCGGCTCTCACAGGTTTCACTGAATATGTGTGTTCACTTATTGTGGCTGTTGTTAGGTACCGCAAGTCGGTTCCAACTCATAGCAACCCCATGAACAACAGAACG